GCTAGTAATGTTTTTTTATGCTTTGTACTCTGGATTATCGGTTATGAATGAAATATAATTGAATGTTGTCATACTAATATGTATGTCTCATTTATATACATTTTGGCCACACGTATGTTAGTCTAAACTGTGATCTAACACTTTTAACCCAAAAAAAAACTAGTGGAACAATATGATTTGCATTCAATTTTCTGACAGGATCAGAATATTGCTATTATAAAATTGCATGCTTTTGAAGAATAAAGAATTTAGAGATTTTTGCATGATTTAGATAATCTAAATCATATTATGAAATCTCAATATACTTTAATTGTTCAACATAGAGTAAATAATAGATTTATCTTGATGGACAATGCTTGAAGGAAAAAATAGTGTTGAGTACGACAACTTAAAGTATTCAGTAGTCCAGAAAATTGTCAAATTGAAAAACCCCAAAAGTTAGATAATTTAATTTCTTAAGAAAAATTCAAAACAATATATTTTTATGGCTGGATAAAATTTAATGTGAAGTAGGACTAATAATGAATTGATTAATGATTTTGATTTCAATTCTTTGGAAAATAAATTTGAAATTAATCATTGAATTATTTGAACAACACGTGCAATGTGTGAACTGTGCATAGGCGAGGTCCTAATCCACTAGTTTTATGAATAATAACACAAAAATTTCATAATTTAATCATAATGTTGCTATCCCCATCTAATTGTAAGGCTTGAATGCAGCCGACTTAAACACAAAAGCAAAGCATATAACAAATGTCAATTTTATGTAAATTTTAAACTTGTCAAGGTTAGGTGAATATAAAATACACGATCACACCAACATCACTAACATTGTTCTTAATTTTTGCTTAATCTCTCTCGCCTCTATTGAAATCACTTCTGCTACTGTTGATCCATCATTGGCGTCTCTCTTGACCTCGTTGTTGCCACAATTGTCTCCATCGACCTCTTTGCCTCAACTATGATTCTGTTACACTTGTCTCCTTTGCTCTCACTATTTATCTCATCATTTCATACAAGTGTTTAACATTTTTTAATATTACCCAAACAAACAAAATATATTTTTTCATTGTATTTAATTTACATTCAATCAAATTTCTCGCATTAAAAATATATTACATTTATTTTACTTTATACTTCTCTGCTTTTTAAGTACATACATAGAAGTAAACTCTTAAGTTATTACAAAAACTATGAAGATAATAATTAGTTTATACTATCACATTACCATTGTATAGCTAAAAGCTCATGGACGAGGTTCATAGCAAGTTTGAGGCATCAGGGGAGATGGCTAACCCAACTAAATAGGAAGTGAAATAGCTCACCAAACCAACTAGATAGTTTGAAAAGAATTATTTGACTAAAGATCAACTCAACCAGGGGATTAGGTTAGCAACTCGTCTATAACGATATGTGCATAAGCATCAGCTAAGATTCAAGCAGCCCAACAACTTGTGAAGAAAGTCCAATTACCCTCACTAGAGCTGATAGGAATCTCCATGAGATCTATTCACTTCAACTCACTTTGTGGCTAAGTTGAATAACAGATGCATCCCTAGCAAGCTACATTTCAGGAATACAATTTTATAAGGAATAATTATCTACATAGGGTGACATGGATAATATAAATATAACTCTTTTGCTTGTAGAAAATAATAGAAATAGATCAAGGATTTATCAAACTGAGTGTAATGAATATCTTATTTTCTTAAAACATAAATGAACCCCTTTATAAATATGAGTGATCATTGTAATGAAAAGGCATTCTCTATCAGATACTAAAAATGACCAATCTTTCTCCATTATCTCTCTTTCTTCTTCAGTCCAAAATCTTTTTTGTTTTAACTCATTTTTTTTTGTTGTGTGAATTCATGACTCAACAATCATAGTGACATAAATCATGATAGACCGAACAAGTTTAAATATTGCCCCATATTTTTTTCTATTTCTCATAATTGTAATCAGAACATATTTCTTTAGTATTCTAATCTGTGCACAATGTCTAACTCGAGCCTCTTCCTCTTGATCACCTTGGGCGTAGCCAAATCTCATTTATCTCACACAAACGATTTGCAGACTTGCAAACATTAGAATATTATGAGCAGGCTATAAATCAATTATATATATATATATATATATAACTGGAATTAAAATTGCACGTTATAAAATGATTAAATGATTGGGTCTGTTTGGGGCAGCTGCAGCTTATCCAGCTTCTGCTGATAAGCAGCTTATCCTGATAATCTGCTGATGACCAGCTGATCCGGATAAGCTGTCTGACTGTTTGGTTAACGCGTCTGGAAAACAGCTGATTGTGAAAAATTGACCCTTTTGCCCCTGGTCTGAATAAGCAGTTCAGCTGTTTGGTTTGTGCGTTTTGTAAACAACTTATTTGTAAATTTTTTGAGTTGAATGAATAATCTGTGTGCAGAATGTTATTTTCTCAAATGTGTAGAAATGAAATTGCAAAAAAAGTTTAATAATATTTATATAACTCAAAAAGGTTATGATTACATCAACAAAACATATTGATATAAAGGAAAGTTCAATACACATTTCTGGATCTCTAATATGGATTATAGAAAGACCCCAAAAAAAAGAAGAAATAACACGTTAAAATTACAAGGAAAAATATGACAATATTAAGTTTAACATGTAAAGCCACATCATGACGAATGTTGCCCGTTTCTGATACCTCAGATCCCCGAGCAAGCGTGTCTGAATGGGGTGCGGTATACACGGAAGAACTCGAACCATATGCGGTGGTCTCCTGTTGTGGTACTCTCGAACTCCTAGTACCTGTGTCCAATTGGGATATTGTAGAGACAGTTGTATTGTCCGTCCACCTAAAGAATTTACAGTCTTCAGGTCCTTGTCCCCAACGCGGGCACCTGTAAAATTGCCTCCCGTAGCTACGTGCCTGGCGTGACGTTAACAGCAACGACGGTAGTCCGCAATGACACATCACTTTCTCGGACTTCCCGTAATGTCTGGAACTCATTCTTCTGCATTTTAAAAAATAGGATCGATCAGTCCAAAAAATAAGGAAATATAAAAAGTAAACTTACGCAAGTGTAGATCCAGCGATTGCTGATAACAAATTTACGTGGCCGTCCAAACTGCCCACTCAAAAACAGCAGTTGCACCCGACTTCCAATCTGCTTAGGTACAATGGGAAGATCCAAAATGTGATTTGAAAGATTTGAATGGAATAAATGTAAAAAATAAGGTTTGGATGCTATGTATCTAAATTTGGGAAAACTAAAGCCTGCATTCCAAGCATTTTATATGCTGCTAACCACATAGTCACTGCTTAAGATTATCTACAAATGAGCGCATACTCGGTTCATATTAATATTCTTCATAACAGAATCACATAAAAAATTGATAAATAACAAGTAGATATCAATCATTGCAACCATCATGGATCCAAATAAAGCATATGAAAAAACTTCAAATACTTTCTACATTGTTGTTCTAAATTCGACGAGAAGGGAACTGCGTTGCAGATTATTGCTTGTGAAATTTCATTGCAGATATTTACAGAAAATCCGTGTTGTTCAATTGATGAAACCGGGCTGCCCTACAGAAGGGTACATAATAGGATCAAAGCTAGCATTTAAGGACACTTCTTATGTATTTACATATAGAACACCTAAACATTCCTTCATACATTTATACCACTCAAATCTCTTACATAAGATAAAAATACCAACAGATATTCATGTCAATAATTCGCCATACAATTCCAGAATCAATAACTGTCACAAGTATGGGTGACGTTCAAGTCCACCCTTGCCTGCAACTTGGAATCATTATAATGGGGTTTAGATGACCTGCTCCCAATTTAACATCAACACTCAATATTCTCATCCAGGCTACAGCCAAACAATGCGCCTTACTATTAGGAAAGTGTGAGTTCAGTCTCATTCATATGGTTGGCATTAGTGTTTAAATAAATTAAACCCAAATAAGAAAATTATATTAGAAAACTTAAGAGATGCATCAAATTATTTCTAACCCCATTTTATCTAACCAAGCTTTATAAAGCAACCATATAAATATTACCAAGCCATATAACAACTTCCATGAATCCAAGCTATGTAGGAACTTCCATGTATCCAATCACTTTAAACATATACAGCTATATGAAGAATGCTATTTATATCAAACATTCTGAACTCTGCTAGCCAAAACCGAGCGTAGCAGAGGCCAACGCAAAACCAAATAACCAACCAACAAGCTCACGGGTAGGACTAATAACAAAGGATATAAGCTCCCAAGCTACCTCTCGGGTAGAAGCTGGACCAGACAAAAAACCCAGCTCCTAACCAGAGCAAAACCGAACCTTCCCATAACTATAGAACATGGGCAAGAATAAACACCACAACAGGCTCTCGGGTAGAAGCTAAAACAAGCAAATCGAGTTCCCAAATCAAGCAGGGATAAATCCCTCAAGGTTAACAAATAAAGCTCACATACCCAAGACAAGATATCAATCCAGAACCCAGCCTCCAACTCTTCCAAGGTGAAAACTGACCCCCTATAGAGATCAAATCAAAGCTTTAAAGGCTAATCAAATGTAGTATATGTTAGCAAATCAAAACACAGCAATTCTTAGGTGAACCAAAAACCAGCAGGGGCTAAAAACGAAACTTTGAAAACTAGTAAAAGAGTTTCAAAACCTCAACGAAAGTCAAGACTCAAGCCTCAATAAAAATCAACATCCCTTGCTCCTGAAATGAAAACCCAGCACAAAAAAAAAACCAAAATCGAGCCATTCAAGACTAAAGAACATTCCCCGTGCCTTTAAAACATCATTATATTGAGCCAGAATGGATTTCAAACTATAACAATGTCATGGAAAGTATTGTTAGCCAACCAATATAATCTTAAACAAGCATGAGTCAACTTCCCTCAAACATCGAAGCATGAAAGATGCCCCCACTCCTCGAGGAGGCAAACCAAATTATTAAACGAGACTATTGAACCTTCAGCTAGGTTTGCAACAATTGTCCGCCAGTGGATTGGATATCCGTGTGGGTTTGGCTGGGATCCTCTCCCTGATCACCTATATGCTCGGTTTCTATATCCTCAGCTAGGTTTGCAACACCCTGCTCATTAGGGGTGGAAAAATGAGTTCCTGTTGCTACAACACCAGTAAACATGCCATCCAATTTCTCCTCCAAGGCTGGTTCAATTCCATTAAATTTGAATTTTTTTGCCACGGGCACAACCTGAAAATAAAAAAGAACAATCTAAATCAAAATTCCAAACATATGTCTGTAAAATTTAATTGAAATAGTGATGTTCATACCGCTAATTTTTCTGCCCACCATTCCTCAGGTGCATCAATTGTCCGTTTGACCGGATCCCATCCCAATCCAGTTGATCCCCTTTTCAGCTCCTTCCAAAGCTTCCACTCCTTCTTTAATTGATCCCATTTGTTCTTTAGTTTCATCCTATCATAATCTCTTCCTGTTATTTCTTTGAATTTACTAGTGATATTATGCCAACCTTCTTTATTAAAAAAAGTTGTGGGCCGATTTCCCAATTCGACTTCCCTCACGCATAGGTTACAAAAAATATTCGTAGCCTCTCTATCCCACATAGCGGATGAACCAGAGTCTTTAGATTTACTCATCTGTTACTGTCATATCATTTAACCAGAGCAAATTTAAATACAGGGGTGTCAGCGAAGCCAAACAAACTGAGTTACATAATAGTAACACCTCCACTGTAGTAAACATGGTAATAGAATATTCATTCAACCAGTGCAAAGTATTTGCATAAACATAACGTGGAAGCTATAATTCTAAAATACAAATCAATATTCAACATAAGGTTAATTTTGCATCACTGTCTACCTTCTACTTGCATGCTTCTATTGTGGCATCAATAGAGATAAATTAGCCTTACGTCAGAGATACTCAAAATTAGCATGTAATACATTTACCAAGAATCAAATACCAAATACATTTACCAACAATGAAATACCAAATTAGTAGATATTACCGGCTATGAACAACACATTGCTCGCTACTTCGATTGAAGTAATGATAATTGGCAGCTAATATGTAAGAAAAATAAATTAAATTTTCAAGAAAAAAAGATTGCAAGGATGGAAATGGATTTCATTCTCATAGAACCATCCAATTGAGATCCAAAATGTTATTTTTTTTCCTTGCTGTATTTGTATATCAATCTAC